CTTGGCAGTCTCACTTTCATTTATCTTTCCATTCCCACAACAATATACATAAAGAAATGGCATATTTTGGACATAGTTCGAATGGTGATTAATCATGATTAATACATTTTTAAGCTGTGATTAATCTGATTAAAAATTGTAATCGTTTGACAGCCCTAATATATATATATATATTATATATTCTGTGATTATTCAACTTTTTAATATTTCGATATTTTGCTTTAACTGATGATCGTAGATTATTTAATCTTTCAGTTCATAAAATAGAACATATAAACAGAAGATAGGATACAATGAGACATGTTAAACTGTCTAGTTTAGTCCTAAAAAAGTGAGTATGATATAAGGTGGTGTAATGCACATGTACCCAAGAACTGAACCTCATAGAATGCTTCACTCATAAGATGACTCATTTTGAATAAATGACACACCCTGTGTCGCCCGTGAATTCATGAACAAGAGACTCATTTTGCACACATCTCTCCGTATTGAACAAATAACCAAAAAGCGGAGGAGAGTCTTGATGACCTGGTGGATTGTTAAACCGCAAAACTATATCAAATCATATGTTCAGAAACTTCTGCAGGAAATTCCAGGTATTAGGGTTAGGTATATTTATACAGTTGTATGCTCAATACGTCCTAACAGTTCAATGTTCCCCAAAAAACGAAAAACTTGCACTACTCGTCTATTCAAGTAGGTTAAACGTTTTTTAAATAGTAATGTTTTCATGAAAATGATTTTTGTTTTGGAATTTGGTTTTGCTGTTGTTAAACTTATTTTTATTAAATGTTCTCTTCGTGAACTGTGATAAGATAAAAGAAAGACTGTTCTCTTCCAGAGTTAAAGCAACATGGGGTAAGTTCTTGATATAAAATGGCCATTTGTAAATGTAACTAAGGCAATCAACAGACAAATTATGAGCATTTACTTCACATCACTTTCACGGGGCTGATGGTGCATACTCTTTGAGAAGACTACACAACATTTTTTCGCCAGAGCTCTCTCATGTGCTGTATTCAGAATAAAGACTCACTTCAGGTCAATGAAATACAGCAGAAGATGCCTAGTTACAACTCATATCTTAACATATTTAAATATGGGTGAGATTGTAACATTTAAAAGGAGAATGTTTATTCATCTGATGTAATATATGACAGGAGCAGCATCTAGTGGCTGAAACACATAATTGCACCTGTGTCAATTGTCTGAACAAGAACAATTAGATCTCTAGTAATTGTTTTCAAACCATGTAGAGACTTTCTGTTTCTGTTCTCAAACTTTTCACAGTGAAACATTTGTAATATCTCTGGCAGCTGGAGACTCTGCAGACTTGACAAAGACTGGCTTTGGTCATGTAACTTGTTTGTATGTCTTTGTGTTGAAACTATTGTGGTTGTTGCTGCTTTTATGATGCATTTCATGTTATTGCACTTCATTTCTACTTTCCTTGCTTAAAGAGTGATTTATAAATATAACAAAAATATAAAACGAACTTAAACTGCACAGTAACCAATAATGTAGTTGAATAAAAAACACCAGAACCTATTATTATTGTTATTAGTGTTATCATTATTATTAGTAGCAGTAGTAGTAAAAGTAGTAGTAGTAGTAGTAGTATTAGTTATATTAGAGAATGTTGTATTCTCTATAACATTTGAAACATTTGAACGTTATTAAGATGGAGGCTTCAAATACAACCAGTGTTTTCTGCCTCTGCACTATCCTTTTATCTTTTTTTAGGTTTGTGTATGATGACGCATACTTGAATTAAATGACAGTTAAGCATTAATTGTATTTAGTTACTTCTCTTTCTGATATTTCCTAACTTTTGTCTCTTTTCGTACACTTCCACCAACCAAAATAAATCTACTGAAACAGCTGATTATTCCCACAGAAGCTCATATATGCTCTTCTTCCTGCACTAAATCAAAGTTATTCACTAAATAAAAGTCTCCTGCTGTGTTCAGGTGGATCGTGTGGATAGGTTACCGCCTAGTCTGTCCACCAGGCGAATTCCTAGCACTGTGGTGGGTCTAGGCGGGGGCCGGTATGGCATCTTCATCACCTCAAAACACCTGCAGGCCTCCGACCCTGACAGCCCCGCGGAAGAGCTGGAGTTCTCCATCAGCAGGCCTCCGCAGTTCGGCTACCTGGAAAATGCTCTCACAGGTGGGCTGTGTGTGAACTTAAAGCTGAGGTTATCAGAATCAGAAATTATGGATGTATTGCATACTGTTATACTCTTTAAGTTGGACTAACAATTCCTGTCCTGTCAGGAGCATACATCAGAGGTTGTTTCACGCAGCGGGACGTGGACCAGCGCGCCGTGGCCTTCGTCCTCCCTGCCGACATGGAGGTGACGGCGGACAGCTTCCAGTTCCTCCTCACTGACCCTGCTGGAAACACCATGCTACCCCAAATGTAGGTTTGTAAAAGAAAGGGTCCGAGAGAAGCACGGGAACCCTGGTCCAGTCAGGGTCAACCATCTCAAATATCACAAATATGATATGAATATGAAGTTAACGAAGAAGAATTCTTTCACTCAAGTATAAATATCACAGTTTAGAAGTGCCATGTTATATAAAAGACATGAATACAAGTACTGGCATATATATATATATATATATATATATATATATAAAGTATCTACTCTATATGCCTGAAGCAGTGGAGTTTTTATATGTACAAAACTGTTGGGGCAACTTAGATGTTTATATATAAGCTTCTGTTGCTTTTTTAAATATGTAAACAAATAGCTGTAGGCTCCATGGTTCCGATGCAACAGCGAGCTCATCGTCACATACAAAGACAGCGAGAGAGAGAGATAGAGAGTTGAAAGTAACATATTATATTTAAGATTTTGAGGCTTATGACATATGAGGCTAATCATTTTAAGAAAATAAATATGGTTTTAACTAACTTTTACTGACTTCCATAAGTGGTGACATGCTGATATAGTTAAAATATTTATCATACAAGTAGACACGTCATCTTTTTATATAAAATACCCACAGCTGTCGGTTAATCATATTAAACTCAGCTGATGGAAGTAAAAATACCGTAGTCTGGTCGTCTTTATTTTTACGTTATTATTATTCAAAGATAAATAAGGAAGTGTGTTTTATATGAGATGGCAGAGACTTCAAATCAGATTATTAAATCAAAGAGGCTTTATGTTTTCTATTATTTTATTTCACTATAGTTATGCGGACGGTCTCAAGGTCCTATTTTGACTGAATAAATCAATAGCGCGTGTAAATAAAATACAAGATTTCTTTATTTTTATATATAAATATTGGGACAAAGCTTATACACAAGTTATTGAGCCGTTTCCGCTCTACATCCTGAACTCCTCCCTTCGATGCAATGCACTTCCGTTTTGGCGGACTGGGTTTGTTTTGCTAGCTAGCTCCGTTGTGCCGACAAAGCACTGATATCGCAGAGACAAAGAGAATATAACAATTACAACATGAAGAAAAGTGGTTCGGGAACTACGTGTGCGGTAGTTGGTTGCAATCACTCGAGAAAGCACCTGAACGAGTGGTTAGATAGAGAGTGCTACGACCACAAACCAGCACCCAGCACCCAGCCATGTTGTTCATTAAATACAGATAAACACAACAAATACTGCATGCATTGTATTTTTAAATATTATATATGAATATTTTCATAGTGATGTAATTGTGTGGGCTGCTTTTATATTTTAATTTGTAATACCTGTTAGGATTAAACATGTGATCTTTCTTGTTGAAGCCATTTCTTTAGTTTCCTCTAAACAATTCATTCATTCAGTGTTATTTATGTACAGTATGAGCTTAATATGAATGATGAACTGTGTTAAAAGAAATTGTAGCACTCTAAGGAACATATGAAATGCAATAATGCAATAACAGTGCAATAATGAAATGAAATTACATCAAACTTTATTTTCACTCAAACAGTACAGGCACATATGATATATTGCACAGCATAAAGAGATCATGTAAATTGTGCATTATGTAAACAACAGACAACTGTTGGCTCCTGTGGGCATGACCTAAATAAGGCAGTTTATTTTGGTTTTAAAATGCTGAGATATTTACTGCAGAACTGTAACCTTCCCTCAACAAAATCGTCAACAATTTTCGGGAGCATGTGGGCAAAGTAGAATGTGCGCAGCCTTATGATATGCCCCTGGACAAAGTCTTG